AGGAGAGGTCAGTTAAGACTTCCTTGCTTTCACGCAACAGACTGTGACCCTCAACTCCCCACAGGGAGGAACCCTAAGGTGGCAGAGCACCATTCCCAAATGAATCCCATGACAGGATTTATTCTGTGAAGTTTAGATTTAAGTAGTATACAAATAGAATAGTATTTCTTGGGGTTTTCATACCACTCACTCCTATCTGACTCTTCATCATATATATCATGCCCCATAACTGTGGGTGTTCCCTAAGGCTCTGTCCAGGGTCCCTTTTGCCTCTCTCTCCTTTTTATCTTGTGACCTCACGAACTCTCATTGGTTTGATTATCATTTCTATAAAGATGACTCATTTATGTATCTACCTATCCCTGGTTTCCCTGTTGAGTTTGATGTATTTCTATACCAAAATATTTGTGTGTGCTTGTGTTCAACCCTCTTTTGTTCATTTCAAATAAGAGGTTCATTGGATGCCCACTCAGCCCTCCCCTTCGTCCAGTTTGTAATTTTCTCTCACACTCCAATTGTGAGAAACAGCAAATTCTACCTTTCTTCCTCCTTTCTACATTATTACATTCCTTTTATCCTCCCTTCCCCTCTTCAAACTGTCAGAAGAGAATAAGATCTCTTATTTTTTTTTTAACTCTTTCATTACCTTCTGAAGACAATAAAGGATTCTAAATCTTTTTTTTTTTGGTCAGGGACTCCTTTGCTTAGGAGTGCCTATGGTGAAGACTATGGACATGTTCTCCAAATAATATTTCAAATACATAAATAAAATATATAGTATTTCAATTATACTGAAATAGTTATCAAATTTTTTTTAAATAAGTTCATATGCCCAAAGAGCTATAAAAATGTGCATATCCTTTGACTCAACAATGCCACTTCTAGGGCTGTGTCCCAGAGATCATAAAAATGGGAAAAGGATCGACATGTACAAAAATGTTTATAGCAGCTCTTTCTATGGTGGCAAAGAATTGGAAATTGAGGAAATGCTCATCAATTGGGGAACAGCTAAACAAGTTGTGGTATATGAACATAATGGAATACTATGCTCTAAGAAATGATGAGCATGCAGACTTCAGAAAAACCTGGAAAGGCTTGTATGGACTGATGCTGAGTGAAGTGAGCAGAACCAGGAGAATGTTGTGCACAGTAACAGGCACCTTGTGCGATGACTAACTTTGATAGACTTAGCTCTTCTCAGCAATGCAACGATCTAAGACATCTCCAAAAGTTTCATGATGGAAAATGCTATCCACATCCAGAGAAAGAGCTATGGAGTTTGAACGAAGATCGAAGCATACTATTTGCTATTTTTTTTCTTCTGTTTTGTTTTGTTTCTTCTTTCTTGTGGTTCCTCCTATTGGTTCTAATTCTTCTTTACAACATGACTAATGTGAAAATACATTTAATAGGAATGTATATGTAGTGCCTATATCAGATTGCATGCCATCTTGGAGAGGGAGGGGGAGAAAATTTAAAACTCAAAAGCTTAAGGAAGTGATTGTTGAAAACTAAAAATAAACTAATTTTAAAAAAGAAATAAAAAGAAAAAATAAGTTCAGAGATGCCAGATCAAAACTCTCTGCTTTAAAAGGATACTTGTTTCTTCTCCCTTAGTAGATAGAATGTTAGTACTACATCATCATACAGCAACTTCAAATTGCCCAAATAAATTTACCTTTCTAGGTGTCTCTGGACTTGTGTTTATGTTTCAAATATCCTGTTCAGATCTTGTCTTTTTTTTTTTTTTTTAATCAGAAATTCTTGAAAGTTCTCTACTCCACTGAAGGTCAAGGTTTTATGTGATCCTCATATGTCCTTGATATTTCAACTGTTTCTTTCTGGATAATTGCAGTAGTTTCTCTTTGGTATGGGAGCTCTGGATTTTGGCTGACATTCCTTTAACTCCTTCCTTTTAGGAGGCAATCTGTGGATTTTTTCTATCTTATTCCTCTAGTTCTAATTGATCTGTTTAGTATTCAGTTGTTATTTCTTAGAATATTATGGCCAGGATTCTTTTTTTTTTTTGATGATTGTTTCCATAGTTCAGTGATTCTTAAATGATCTTTCCTTGACCCATTACCTAAGTCAGTTATTTTTTATGATAAATATTTTATATTTTCTATTTTTTCAATACTTTGATCTTGTTCTAATATTTCTTTTTGCCTCCTGGAGTCTATTCTATTTTTCTAGAGGTCCTTTCTTAGGTAAAATTTATAATTTTCTCTTCTAAGTTATTCTCCTTCCAATTATTTTGTCCAGAAATTTTTTTTAAAATTCTTGTTTCATTGATGCTAGGTATTCATGTCATCCATATGGAAAATCCAATTCTTCCTTTGAGTCCAGAGCTCAATATTTGCAATAATTGTTGATACTGGTCAGTGTTTTGATTTCATCTCTGTGCTAGAAATGGGCTCTGTCCAGGGTCCCTTTTGCCTCTCTCTCCTTTTTATCTTGTGATCTCATGAACTCTCATTGGTTTGATTATCATTTCTATAAAGATGACTCATTTATGTATCTACCTATCCCTGGCAGGAAGGTCAACCTTGCTTGGTCTCCTCTTGGGTCTTCTAGATTCTTACACTAGCCTCCACCTCCTCAGATTAAACCTTCTTGGATCTTTGAGGTCTAGAGCAATGGATCTTCAGGGCCCTCTTTGACATTTCAGATTATTAAAGACCTCAGATCCCCTGAACGTGGGTTATCCTAGTTTGAACACTTCCAGATGTTGGTCTGTCAGCTGTTTCTGATCATTCTTGGACCTTCTCAGAACCCTCTGTTCTTACTGTCTCCAGACATAGAGCCTACCTCTAACTCTGGTTGTACTAGCTTCCAATGCTGGCTGATTGTTAGAGGAACCCCCTTTTCCATTACCCATGGGCTTCTGTGCAGTCTTGAAGTTAAAGAAGTTACTGTATTTTCTCATTGGATTTATTGATCATTATTCCTGCTGTGAACTTCAGCGTTCTACTTGTGTAATTACATAGGAGTAGGGTTATCTGCCTCCCATTAAGGCAACCTTCTTGGCTGCAAGTCCTCCATCTTGGGAGAGCAAGACTCCAGTTTAACAGATTTCCTCAAATAAGGTGTTTATCATGTGTTAAGATCATATGCTATTCCATGGACATTCTAGGTAAAAGTCCATTCAAGGGAGATCACCCAGTCACTTCCACTGGGAAACCAAAGTGAATAAAGAATATTGCCTAGATTATAACATGAATATGAATGGACAACTTGGTGTCACAGATTTACAGGTAGAAAAGACCTCAAAGCTCAGAGTCCAATCCCCTCATTTTATAGATGAGAAAACTGAGGCCCAGAGATGTTAAGAGACTTATTGAGATGTTACTGAGATTTACTGAGGATCACAAAGCAGTGATTTGAACTCAGATTTTCTTGATTCGAAATCTAGTGAACTAACCACCATACCATACAGCCCCTTTGTATTAGTTTATCAGTATCTAGGAAAATAAACTGAACAGATTATCAGAACATATCTCATTTGGGAAAACGCAGAGCAGTTTTTCAGCACTGTTTTTCCTCTCAGTGAAATTACCTAGTTGTGAATCATGTGATACCTGTATCACAGAAGAGTAACAGGATAATCGATGGCAAGTGAAAACAGGTTACAATGAGTGAGAACACACATCTGATAAATGGCATAAAGGACATCACACGAAGGATGCGCAGGACTAGAAAAGGAGGTTAGAGGATCATGTCATAAGACTGAAAAAAAGATAGACAACCCAAGTGTTGCAGTGGTATTGAAAATGAACCAGATCCTCAATTTACAGAAAGACATAGATAAGAATCTCCCAGTATGAGTGGCTAGGGCTGGGTTGTAATCTAGAGACTAGAGGAAGTGCTCACCAAGGATGAGATCAGGGATCCACTTAAGTATTTCCTCCCACACCCACAAAATGCTTCACACATAGTAGGTACAAAATGTTTGCTGAACTTTTTTTTAACCAAAAACTAATTTTTCTTCTTAATTTTCCTTTTCTATCTCATTGTACTTGTAGAAAACATCATATACTTATTTTCATCTTTTAATATGTTTTGTTACAGTTATTAAAAAAATGTGAAACAGATTGCAGGCTATATACTGCAAGTACCTCCTTTATGATTTTTAAACTGTGTGATTTCAAGCTTTGGTACTAAGATGGGTCCCCTACTGGCAATACTGAAAAATACAGCCTCAAATTTAAAAAAATAAAAATGCTTCCAAAATACCATTTTATTTGTTTTTTCACACATATTGGCTTCCATCTTTTGGAAAGCAAAACAGGATACAAAAATATCATTGTTTATAATGTGATAATCTTTTCCAAAAAAACATACATTTTCCCACAAGTATGGCAGACCATGTAAAACTGACCAAGTATTTTTAGTGTAGAAATACTATTAGTGCCGATATTTTATGACTTAAAATTTAATCTTACGTACTGGTTTAATGACAGTTAAGGATAATTAAAACTACAAATTCTCTAGTCAAACCATAATACACATGTGACATGACTGTGTAGTTTAAATGCATACAAACTCTAATACTTGTCTAAATAGAATATAATTAAAATGTTATGGATTTTTTTCAGGTTTTATGTCTTAATATTTTAAAGACAATAATAATATGACAAGGTCTATGTTTTTTTTTCTTTCAAAAATGTTTATAGGATGAGGAGGATTAGACCTAAGTTTGTTATTTTCAATATATGATGAATCCACTCTGCACCAGATAAATTTTGGAGTGATTTTTCTTTTTGGAAGTACAACTGAGTCTAGAAACTGAGTCAATTAATTTAGTTAATCTAACAGTAATCTAATAATGACCATTTATATGATATTTTAAGGTTTGCAAAGTGTTTTACATGTGTTATTTCATTTGTTCCTTAAGAACCCTGTGAGGTAGATGCTATTATTATCCCTATTTTACAAATGAGGAAACTGAGGGTAAGAGGTTACATGAGTTGTTCAGGATCACACAACTAGTAATTGGATAAGGCAGGATTCAAACTCAGGTCTGGCTGACTTCAAATCCAGCCCTTAAAACCTCCGTACCACCTAGCTGCCTCTAGAAAAGGTTTTAAAACCATATAATTATTCTGTCAGTTTACTTATGTACTGGTATAACTGATCTGTGAAAGCTTCTAATGAAAATTTTTCCTTCACTCTGACTCTTCCTGCCGACCCCATTGTAGCTTTTAAGGAAGGATCTCTGATAAACTTTTCCATTGCTTTAGAAAACTGTGTCGGATCAGGTTCACATAAAAACCCTGTTACGTTATCTACAATAGATTCCAAAGGTCCACCTGAATTCACTGCAATGACAGGACACTGCATGTACATGGCTTCCACAGGAACTATGCCAAAATGCTCATTGCTCGGTGTATAAAGCACACAAGTACAATTATGGAGAAGAGAGATCTTTTGTGTATCTGAAAAAGACTTCAGGAATGTAACATGGTGGCTAAGGTCAAACTGGTTGACTGTATTCTTCAGTTCTTTATAATACTCTACATTTTCCAGAACTCGTTCATCATAACCGCCAGCCATTATTAGATGAATTTTTTCCCAATCTTGAAGATCTAATCTCCCTCGTAGCTCAAGTAATGCTTCTAAAGCTAGAGTTAGATTTTTCTTCCTTTCATATCTGTTGATTGAAAGAAAAACAAACTTCTTTCCTTTGGGAATTAAGTTATCGAGATCTGAAGGTACCACATTGTCAAAGCTGCTGACATTCAAAGAAGGGTAGAGGACATCTGGGTTTATGTGTGTTAGGGACTTGAAGGTGTTCTTAAAAACATTTGCCGTGAAGGAGCTATTGACCACAATGCAGTCTGCCATGCCAGTAGTATACTCTTCCACCCAATCAATGGGGGCTCGGTAGAGTCGTTTAAGAAAAGAATTTCTCTGAGTGAGAAGTAAATCAGGAAAATGACAGTAAAACAGTATCTTCTTCCGATGTCTGGCCAGTCTAAACACTGGGATACAAGCAGATACCTAATTAAAGCAGAAATGAAAACTGGTTAAGAAAATGACTTTTATTCATTATTTCAACAAAACTGCCTACTTTGTGTTGTGTATACTTAAAACCACAAATTCGATGGGGCTTCCTCTAGATTTTCCTTCCTACAGAAAAATTAAATATGCAGAATCATAAATTTGGAGGTAGCCTGGACCTTAAAAGTCATCTTGTCCAAGTTTCTCATTTTTATAGAGTAGGAAAGTAAAGCAAAGAGAGGATAAGTGAATTGTCCAGGGTCACTGGTAGTTAATAGCAGAGGCAAGAATGCAAGGTTGTAAAGAATGGCACCAAGATTTGGTCACCAATTTCTAAACTTACCGCAAAATTCACAAAAACAAACCTTAAGAATATCATAGTATTCCTTACTTAATTTCCGATAGCACCAGAAATGTACTGCAAACATCTAACTAATGTTGGGTTTAATTTTTCTACTAAAAATCCTTAAGCCTCTGCATAATCGAATTGATCCTACTCACCCTTAAACAATGCTGTTTCTTATGACTAGACAGAAGAAGGATGAGCTTATATCTGTGGTAAATACACTCAACTCCTCTGATACAGAAACTCTGGGAAAACCAAACAAAAATGTTTGAAAAGGAGGAAGAAAATGTGAGAATATAAGTTGACACTGCATAAAAATCACCTGATAAGTGCAATGTAATCCTTAGCACAGTGCTTGGCACATAGCAGATGCTTAACAAATGCTTATTGTCTGACTATTTTTGTCCTCTGGGCCTGCTGTACTGCTTTCATTTTATATTTTAAAAAACTTCACCTTTTACAGGAACCCTTTCTAGAAAAAAATCACAGTATTTTAAAGATAAAAAAATCATAGATATCACTTAGTTCAATCTCACTTATCATTTCAGAGATAAAAAACAAGCCTGGAGAGGTTAAAAACCCAGTTCCACAAAATGATCCATTGAAGGAACCCTCTATGTTCAGCTTAAAGGAAACAAGGGGACCAGATCTATCTTCAAATATTTGGATAGTACTGGGAAGGTATCATTTTAAACTGAGAGGAGGAGACCATCTAGTCCAATCTCACTTTTCAGATGAGGAAACTGAATATGACCAAGGTTATGACTTGTCTAACCTCATACAATACTTTGGAGATTCAAACTTGAATCTCTGAATGAAAATTTGGTATTCATTTGTAACATAGAGAAGATCTGCTTCGCCCCAGAGGGAAAAATCAGGCACACAACAGGTGCAAAACATTCAGCTCAATACAAAGGAAGGACATCTGAAACCATCAGAGCTGTCCAAGTACAGAATGAGCTGCCCCAGTGGACAATAAAGTAACTGACACTGGAAGTCTTTAAGCAAAACCTTACAGAAGGAATTCTTGTTCAGTTAAAAATCTTTGAGGAAGGCAGCATGCCATTATTACTTGCAATTCATTTATTTTCAGAAAATACTTTTATTTTACTATGAAAACTGTAGCAGGGAGTGGAGGAACACTTTTGATGTCTTGTAGCTGTTTCTACTTTGGGTAATTTAGCCTTACTTTTTAAAAAAAAAAGGCATACTGAAGTTCTCTTAGCAAGAGTATCATTAACCTCCTTTGGCTTCAATTTCCGCATGTGCAAATAGAAGGGGTTGAATTACATGATTCAGGTTGAATGCAAAAACATGGTAATAAAAGTATATGCAAGGCATACTTCAAAGGCAGAATGAGAGCCAATCGGCTTTAATTTTAATGAATAACATTTATCGTTCACTGTTTCCGACTTTATCAGTTACTTATTGCAGGGCAAATCATAGAATCATGTCAGAGCTAGGAGTCTTAGAAACCACCTAGCCCAGTTTCCTCTTTTTACAGTTGAGGAAACTGAATAGAAGGGAAATGACTTTTGCTCCAAGTCATCCATAATGATTAAATTAAATGGCAAAGTTGGGGCCTGGAATTCTGGTTTCATTTCTAGTCCAGGTATTCTTGAAAACATGTAGCCCACCCTGACCCACCTGACCTCACTGAGGCTCCTTCCTCATCCATAACATCTGTATAATACACTTGTATAGCAAAGGGAATAGGACTCTGGGTTCAAGTTCAGTCTCCAATACTCCCTATCAGCGTGGCCTAGCGCTTTGCAAAGCAGTCAGTCAATAAACATTAAGAGTCAACAATTTATTGGATGCTTATTTCACGTCGGGCACTGTCCTGTGCTAGAAAGAGTCCCTGCCCTCAAAGAGTTCACTCGAATTCCAATGCGAGAGGCAACATGCAAACAACTATGTACATATACGATATACACCGAGATGGAAAGTAATCTCAGAAAGAAGGCACTGGGGGGCATGATTTGGAGGTGGTGCCAGGCCCTGTGCTAATAGCTAGGAATATGGATTAGTCCCTGCTCTCAAGGAGCTCGTAGTCTAATGGGGAGACAACATGCAAACAACCACTTACAAAAGGGTCACACAAAGGATAAAGCAAAGATAATTAAAAGTGAGAGGGCACTCTAATTATGGAAGTAAATCAGCATTTATTAAGTTCCCTCTACGTCCAAGTCACCATGGTAATTGCTGTATAAATATTAACTTATTTGATCCCCAGTGCTTAGCGTAAATGTTTACTGAATGAATGAAACCCACTATAACTCTGGGAGGGAACTGTTATTAGCCTCATTTCACTGGGGGCGGACCGAAGCACAGAGAGCACAGAGGTCGCACAGCTGTTAAGTGTCTGGGGCGAATTAGAACTCAGGTCTTGCTGCCTTCAGGCTCAGCGTCTAGCCACTGCACCACCAAGGGGAACCAAGAAGGGTGGACTTTTGGGCGGGGCTTTAAAAAGTCAAGGCAAATGCTTAATAAATGATCTGACTTGATTTTGAATGACTCACTTCCTTTCTCTAGGCCTCAGTTTCTGCAAAATGAGCTGGGCTGGGCTGCACTGTCCCTGGGGTCCCTGCAGCCCTCGGGGGACGGGCGTCGACTGCCCCCTCACCTGGTCGCACACGATCACGTCCATCTCCTCGCCGCTCAGCAGCAGGATGTAGAGCGCCAGGTAGACCATGCGCACGTAGGAGCACAGCGCGGCGCCGCGCCCGCCCCAGCCCAGGCTGCGGGGCAGCCAGTCGCCGGCGCAGTGCACCTGCAGCTCGCGGCTCTCCGAGAAGCAGTGGCCCGGGTCATAATGAGCCGTCCACACCTGGACGCGGCAGCCGCGAGACTGCAGGGCCAACGCCGCGTCCAGCACCAGCCGCTCCGCGCCGCCCACGCCGAAGTCCGGGTGCACGAACAGCACTGACGGGCCGCGCGCGCGGCCCTCCAGACCCCGAGGCTGCATGGCCTCCTAGACCCTGGAATTGCCGTGGGCTCGCGCTTGCGCAGACCCCTCGGAGAAACCCAAGAGGCGTCGAGGTCCCAGTGGCCGCCGTGGCGCAGACTCGAGGACAAGCCCCGCCCTTTCTTCTCCCCCCCCCCCCCCCCCCCCCCCCGCCGCAGCCGAGCTGGTGCTGGCGTGGCATTGGACCGATTTCTCGGACCCAGCTTCTTCGTGCGAATGGCTCCGCCCCCTTAGGACTTGAGTGAATTTGGACACGTTAGCTAAAAGTTGAGGGTGTCTCTCATATTGCCGGAAATCCTCGTGCGTGTTTTTTTATGTGTCTGCTTTTTTCAGCTGGCAAAACCAATTTTCATATACTTTTTTATTGTTCATTGTGGAGCTGAGATACCAGAACGTCACGCTTTTTTGGCTTTCTGTTGAGATTCTCCTTATTTCCAATCAGGCATTTATGAAAGCACCACAGGAAGCGGTTATCTCTCCGCCTTCCCCCTTCCCCCGACTGAGGAGCCAAGCGGAGGCAGACTTTTCTGGTCACGGTAACTGGTACAGCTGCCGGAACATCTGCAACCGAGGCTGCTACCTCCTCAACTGCAGTGATGGTATAACTGGGTTCCTAGTCTAGTTGGCCTGGGTGTCGTCGTCGGCACCTGGGGGGGTCCAGGGGCCCGGCAGGCTTCTGGGGAGACTCCGGGCGGAATCGTCGGGGGCGGGCTGTGGGGCCGGGTGGGGGCTTCTGTAGGTGATGCAAGATGGTCTTTTTATTTCTGTCCACAGCCGGGCCCTACTCCCAGTGGTACAAACGTGGGCGCCTCGGGCCGGTCTCCCAGCAAAGCTGTGGCCGCCAGGGCCGCGGGATCCACAGTCAGGCAAAGGTAAGGAGCAAGGCCGGGAGACAGGCCTGGGCCTGTGGGTGTTGAAACAGACTTTCGCAGGGGTCAGTGCTTAATTGTTAGCTGAGTGAGGTCAAGGCTATGTCCTAAATTGATAGAGAAAACCTTTATTAAGCTCTGCTGTGTACCAGGCACTGTGCTACTACGCATGTTTTCTATAATTCAACTAGTCATTATTTATTAAGCATCTGCTATGTGCCAGCACTGTGTTAGGCGCTGGGAGTACATATTAAGCGATCACCACTTATTGTTGTACGTAATTGGTGAAGTACGGAATTTGGGTATATGAATGAAAGAAGAAGTGGCATGAGCTTGTCAGTCAATAAACATTTATTAAGCCTCTACTACATACCAGGTACCCTGTGTTTGCCAATCGAGGGAGACACAAAGAAAGGCAAAAGGCAATCCCTGCTCTCCAAGAGGTCATAGTCGAATGAGAAGACAGCAAGCAAACAACTATGTAGAGACAAGACGTAGGGTATATTGGAAATAATCAGTAGAGTGAAGGCACTGGAATTGTGCTTCCGTGGAGAAAGGAACCAGAGGAAACCTGATTTGGCCCTGTTCAGTTCATCAAATATTTAATAAGTGTACCTTATTTTCCAGGTACTGTATTAGACATGAGGGAAAACAGGTATAAAGGAAACCATTTCTACCCATAAGGAGCTTATGTTTTGCTTGGAGCTGGGAGGGAGTCAAAACAACATATACAAAGATTAATAAATACAAAGTAATTTGAAGAAGGAGAGAGCACTAATCAGGAATGAGGAATAGTAGGGAAGGCTTCACAGAGGAGAGTGGTTACCTGATGGAGAGACAGAAAGGAGGAGAGAGGACATTCCAAGTGTGTGGGGAGGGCTTTTACTAAGTAAGGCTTGTAGGTGGAAGATGGAATGTCAAGTTAGGGATACTAGACCTGTTCTGCTATAATGTAATAATTTGTATGAGGGGAAGTCATGAAATAAGACCGGAAAGGTAAGATGGAGCCAGTATCTAAAAGTTCTTAAATATCAGACTTAGGAATTTGTTGTTTATCATTCTAGTGTCAGTGGGAAGCTCATTAGCTGAGGAGTGACATGATCAAACTTAGGTTTTAGGAAGATTTTCTCTGGTAGTTGTGTGGTACCTGGATTGGGAAGGTGAGATTATCCAGGAGGAGAGTAGTTATAGTTGACTATCAAAAGCTGTAGAGAAGTCAAGAAGGATGAGTATTAAGAAAAGGTCTTTGGATTTAGAAGTTAAAAGATTGCTGGTAACCTTGGATTCAGCAGTTTTCCTTAGTGTGGTGAGGTCAGAAGCCACATTGTAAGAAGTTGAGAAGTAAATACATGGTAAGGAAATGGAAGTAGATAATGTAGAAAACTTTTCTAGGTGTTTGGCAGTGGAAAGGAAAAAAGATACAGAATATCAGTACCAAATAAAGGTTTGTTGTTTTTTGTTTTTGTTTATAAAGGTAGGGAGAACTGAGGGAGGAGGGAATGATTAAAAGTCATCACTCTAAGAAAGAGGGGATGTGATTGAGGGCACAAGTAGAATGGTAGGAGAAGACAAAAAGAATGGGTACCAAGGATAGGTGAAGGTTTTGAGGTAATGCTTACAATGGATGGTGTTGATTTTCTGAGTAAAGTAGGAAGTGAGGTCATCTCCTGAATAGAGTTGGGAGAGGGGAAGGTATTAAGACTTAATGAAAGAGGAGAGAGTTTGGAACAGCTGTTGCTGGGACAAGATGGTTAATCTGGGAAGAATAAAAGTTTGTTACATAGTATTGAGGGCCCAGTTTAAAATTAACATTAATGGATTCAGTCAATGTTATTTTGTGCCCTTCAACAGCTTTTCAGTTAGTGAAGAAGACAGGTTGTGGAGATGATTCTGGGTTGGGAATAGTCAGGGAAGGAACAATGGAAGAAGATGGGGGAGAAGAATTCAAGAGTGGAGGACAGTGAGTAATTGAACTGGTTAACTGAAGGGCCAAAATTGTGAAAGGAGGAAAATTAGGCTGATGGCCTGGGAGAAAAAGGAGGTGTGGGGGGAATGGAGGTTGCAGGGAAGATAAAATAGGATTGAAATGAGAGGGGTAAAGAGAGAGATGAAATGGCAGATCATCATCAGAGGGGAATTTCAGAATTTGAAGTTAGGGAAGGAGACAGTTTGGGCATGGTAGTCTTGGTAGTCTTAGGTATAATTTGTTCTGTTCGCTTGTCTCTTTCATTAGATTGTGGGCTCTTTCAAAGAAGGGACTTTTTTAGCCTTTCTTTGTATCCCCTGCACTTATCACAGTGCTTGGCACAGAAACTTGATTTGATAATATCTTATCTAGAGAAGTAATGGAGGGAAGAGTGAATAGGCAATCATGCCTCATTTTTGAAGATCACCATTGAGTTTTCAAAAGTATTGTCATTTAAGAACCTTAAATTCTAGTTGCCCTATTTTTTTTTTAAATCAAATACCTATTCTGGACTTATCACTGTTTTAGGTGTTGTGGAAGATACAGGGGTATGAATCCAAAGTAATGACTAGTGTTTTTTTGTGACTTTTTCATCCAGATTTCTTATTTATAGTTAGGTTTTGTGTAATATAGCCACTTTTCTCTAGAAGTTAGTCTTGCTGAATATATCTGCAAGGCCTACATATGTAAAAATAATTATAAGATTATTTGAATTTTGTGTTAGAAGCTGCAAGTAGTCATAGTAATCAACAGAAGGTAGAGAGAGGAATTCGAGTTCTAGTAATAGTTGAGGACTTGACCTCCACAGTATATCTCACTTTGTCCCCTTTCCCCTAACCACAGAGCCACCATTCTAGTTCAGGCCTTAATCACCTCTCACCTAAGACTATTGCATTCATTCTAATTGACTTCCCAAAACAAATTATTACATTGGCCATGTTCAAAAATGATAGCACATCATGAGACATTAATGCACTGTTAGTGGTGTTGTGAACTGATTCAACCATTCTGTAGAGCAATTTGCAACTATGCCCAAAGGGCTATAAAACCATGCATACCCTTTGACCTAGCAATACCACTACTAGGTCTATATCCATAAAGGGACAAAAAACGAAAAGGAAAAGGACCTATATTTACAAACGTTTTTTATAACAGCTCTTTTCTGGGGGCAAAGAATTGGAAATTGAGAGGATGCCCATCAATTGGGGAATGGCTGAACATACTGTGGTTTGTGACTGTGGTAGAATACTATTGTGATGTAAGAAATGATGAGCGGGATGCTCTCAGAAGAACCTGCAAAGACTTACATGAGCTGATACAAAGTGAAATGTACTGTATGCAAAGTAATATCAATGTTGTAAGATGATCAGCTGTGAATGACTTAGCTATTCTCAGCAGTACAATGATCCAAGACAACTCTTAAAGACTTATAATGAAAAATGTTATCCATCCCCAGAGAAAGAACTAATGGTGTCTGAATACAGATTGAACCATACTTTTTTTACTTTATTTATTTTTCTTGAGGATTTATTTTCTTTTGGTCTGTGTTTTCTTTCACATTACTAATATAGAAATATGTTTTGCAAGACTACACATGTTTAACCTGTATCGAATTGTTTGCTTATCAGTGACAGGGGTGGAGAGGAAGGGAGAGAATTTGAAACTCAAAATTTTAAAAATGAATGTTAAAAAACTTTTTACATGTAATCAGAGAAAAATAAAACACTAAATGAATAAAAGAATTATTTAAAAAAGAAAGAAATGACAGAAACACTGATGCACTATTGGTGGAGGTGTGAACTGGTCTAGCCATTCTGGAAAGCAATGTGGAACTTTGCCCTCTGGAATATCATATTCCAAGCCCTCCGAACCTTTAATGTAGAAGCTGCTAGATCTTGTGTTATCCTGAATGTGGCTGAATGATACTTGAATTGTTTCATTTTGGCTGCTTGCAATATTTTCTCCTTGACCTGGGAGCTCTGGAATTTGACTGTAATATTCCTGGGAGTTTTCATTTTGGGATCTCTTGCTGGAGGTGATTGGTGGATTCTTTCCATGTCTATTTTACCCTCTGGTTCTAGAATATCAGGGCAGTTTTCCTTGATAATTTCTTGAAGGATGATGTCTAGGCTGTTTTTTCAGTCATGACTTTTAGGTAGTCCAGTAATTTTTAAATTATCCCTC